CCCCCCCCCAAGGCATAATTAATGAACAGTCCCTTAGCCACCATGAAAGGATGTGTGAAGCCAAACACAACCAGCCGTAGTATGAGCATTTATAATACAAAACTATAAGGCCTTCCTAACTTGAGCCAAATACAAGTTCCCCTTACCATAACCACTCCTTTTCTTGTACCATCTTTATCTACCACAATATTCAATTGGTATTGGTCTCGAGTCTCTCTGTCCAACGCTGCTCCCCCAACTTTAAGGTTTTTGCCGTCTATGGAGAAGAGACTAGATTGTGCACTAGGTATGATAGAGAATGTTCCTCCGATGACGTTGTAGTACTGTTCTACAGGCTGCAAAGAAAAGAAATGTTACAAGTGTTGCTATAGGGATCTGATTTGCCATTCTTAAGATAAACGTGATGCCATGTTGGTTGACTTTAACGAAAGACCGTTGGTCCAGGAGCTCATTACCCGGAGCGTACAACTCACGTATTCTTTCCTTAGACGTTATCGTTTTCCCAGGCCAATAAAGAATATGAATTAAGGATGGTGGGTACAGTTGTCAGCGCGCACTTTTACTGCGCACATTACGTAGTCCACAGGAACTCCAATGTTTTCAAAAATATCATTTTTTAATAGCAATTTTGTTCGTGTGTGTCTATATGGGATAGTTAAATAGTACTGTAAAAATAAAAGTCAAAGTTGTGAAAAGGAGAAAACGACGACTAGATGGTAGATTTGTCGGAAATAGAGTACCGGTGAACCGACAAAAACTAGACGAAAAAGATCAAGAGAGAAAAACTTGAAAACAAACACAAAATATTATTGAAGGAGAGCGAATTATTGAGTTAGATTATCTGATGGAGCAGTTAAAAAGTGGGTGTAGTGAATGTAAAGACGCACTTAAACTTCATGAATTGATCGACGAAAAAAAGTTTGGACTCTTGGTAGTTTGTTTTACATTCAATGCGAATTCGGAGTTTTAAACTGAAATTTCACCTACCATAAACCACTTAGTTTCTTCTATGAAACTCTTGGGGCTTTATTCAATTCTCAATTATCCCTACAAGGTTTTCTTATTGCATTCTCTAGCACATTTAGTGACCGTATTCTTGATCCAGTAGTTCTTGTAGTAGTCCGCCATGTTTACCATCCCATAATGCAATGCTAAACCACGTCTCTCAGGGGAGGGGTGGAGGAAATTTGTAACCATCGCTTGAAAAAAGCTTGAAATCTGATATTCAAAGGATTATAACTACAAAAAACGCATGGCGACCACAGTTTTTTGAATGTGCTATTTCAAAAATAAAAATAGTTTTGGGTGGTTACTTTTTTGATTTTGTGTTTTTGTCCAAAATTGAAATTTTACCTACTTTTGCACAAAAGCAGATAAAAAATGTACTTTCATCTTTGCAACTTCAAATCTTTTTATTAATATGAAAAATATTTATGTTTAAGATTATTTTAGGCAAAATTTCGATGTACTTAAGCCAAACACAAGGGATATGTGATTTTTTGAAGTGCTTCAAAATGCGCTCACGTCATCGGGTCTTTAATGACAATTATATCGCTTGGATGCGCGGGGACCCCCAAATTTTTTCACGTTTTTAGATAGCCCCTTGGGTACTCTAAATAACTGACACAGTTTCATTCAAATAAAAATGGGTCGCGAACTGTACCCACCATCCTTAAGACAGCCATTGTCATATGTAACGTTTATATATTGTACATCGTTATGATTTTTTTTTGATGAAATCCGTCATGAAAACAGTGCATTACACGAACGAAGTTATGTTTTTCTGCACTTACTTCTAAATTCAAAATGACCACATTACTTAGTCCTTCAGCTACAGTGACAGTGTACGACATTTTGAGCATTGAAGCAACTGTTATATTGACCACGGTGAATGCAGGAGGATGTTTGGTCGATGTGGCCTGAAAGAGCGTATACTTTTTACACACTAATGATAAATTAATGTTTTCACTAGGGTCCCAACACAATGTATCAAAAAATATATTTCTAAATAGACAATAATAAAGAAATAGAACACACGCGCGCGTGCTGTGTGCAGTTATAAAGCACGCGGGGGTTTGCAGAACACGAGAGAAGTGTTAGGAGAAGTGTTCTCGACACTTCTCGAGTGTTCTGCCAATCTCCAAGTGCTTTATAACTTCACACAGCACAGCAAGCAAGTTTATCATTTCTTTTATAAAATACAAATAACAATAACCGTTATTTTACATAGGAATGACGCAACGGAAAATGCGCGCGCGTGCATTGTACTCTAGCACGCGCCCAAACCAATCAGAACTCGAGAATTATAACAGTTTTTTATTAATAGGTGTAAAATCTATAAATATATTCATATAAACAAATACATAAGTCGTCCTATTACAATATAGCGTGGTTTTCAAAAACCCGTGAAACAAAGTGTAATTACTAAGGTGTAATAAATAGAGGATATTACATGGGCGCGCGGAGATACGAATTTTATCTTCGAGTGTTCAATTGATATCTGACGAGTGAGATATCTAAATTGAACACGAGAAGATAAAATTCGCATCTCCAAGCGGCCATGTAATGTTCTGTTTATTATATAGATATCGATGAAACTTAAATAAAACAAAAGCTCAAAAATTCTTTATTAAAATACGTTACTATGTCAACAGCGATATCTTCACGTGTTAAAGATATGGTATCTTCCACTGGTGAAAGATATCAAGTTTTCGGCACTAGAGAAAACCTGGTATTTCATCGATATCTATATAATAAATTAAAATACACCGAAAACACAAAAGAAAATCAAAAGAAAATGCGGACAATAAAGTGTATTAAAGTGTAGTACGCTAAAGTGTATTTCGCGGGTTTTTGAAAACCACTCTATACAGTATTGATTTTCTAAGAACATTAAGTTAATGAGATTCTTTCAAAAGACTTTTGTTATATACTATCTGCCACAATGACACGAGCTTGCAGACTGTTTTCTAAAGGTTGCGTGCGCATCCAACTTGACGGGTCACAAAATTGTATTTAAAGATGAGAATAATCAATTTTATGAATTCTTATCGAAAAAAAATTCATAGAAATGTATGATAATTCTCATTATGAAGCTTCTGTTCTGGTATCGTGGCATGCTCCTTAAAATTGGATGCGCACGCAACGTTGAGAAAACGGCCTTTTTACTATACACTATTTAGTATGCAGCATTCGACATTTTTTGAAATAGCTGAATAACTTCCTCTTTAGATTTTACTTTACTCCACCCGTTCCACTCCCCCTGAACTCACTCTTAAAAATACAATCTTACTCGATGTTATGAGTTCCCCTACATACCGTGACGACCAGTAGCTGCGTTCCAATGGTCAGAGGTCCATTGACTGTTATCTCTCCTGTGTTGTTATTGACTTTGTACACGTTACCAGGATTAGTTTCTGATGGACCAAGATGAATTCAATTAGTATTAATGGTTTGCAGATAATTGTCATTTACTCGAATTTGAAGGATATCTTCATCTTTACAAATACCTTGATATATTTTGAATTCTACAGTAGCGTTAAGACTATCCCTGTCTTTAGCCTGGACAGTCGTCACCACGGTTCCCTGGTTATGAACCAATAATCAAAATCAGACAACAAATAATTAAAACATAAGAAACATCACTTTTTACTAAACTGAGCTATTTCATTGTTGGGTACATTCAACCAATAAAGTTCTCTCCCATAATTCCACGCCAAAATTGTAAAGGAAAGTATGCTCCATTGCATTAGTAATCCAATACTTACTGGCGGAGAATCTTTGAATATTGTCATTAAAAAAAAAAATAAATAAATAAAAATAATAAAATAATATAATGAAATAATAAAAAGTCAATTTCTATACTTTTTTTTATAAACGCATTTCAATTGCTTTTATATCTTTTATTGCGAACTAATGACTGTGTGACCTCGTTTTCGTGCACTTGTCAGCCATTATAAATCGGTGTATACGTGAGCCCCTGGGTAGGGAGAATTAGGCAACCACCCTTCCGCGTTCTCCAAGTAAAAACAATATTTCACTTTCCCATTTACTTACCGGCAGAGAATCTTTGACTAGTGTTGCTTCGTACAAATTCTTCTCAAACTTCGCACCCAAATCATCCACATCCTCAACGTTGATGGTCAACACAGCTGTAGAGTTCAGATTAGGAGTGGAAAGGGTGTTCTGTGTCCATGAAAAGTAAACAGATAAAGAAATAAAATACAAAAATATAAAAGAATAATGGACCGTATAAAGTATTAAAGTTTATATAAGTAATGTTAAACTAGATATAATTAGCT